TATCACGATTACACCCACCACGAACAACGAAAACCACGAACACATCACGACACAAGACCCGGATACGAGCATTGCGGCCGTAGTGAATACGGCCTCGTCCGTCCCGCCACAGAACCCCGACGATCCCAAGGAGGAGCCTCAGGGGCACGCAAGGAACAGTGACGAGGGGGCTAATGTCTTTTTAGATATATCAACGCCCCCGCAATGTGAGTTTATTACTGATTCCAACCCATGTTCAACCCGAACAGCTGGCAAGCCTGTTTCTCCCTTGAATAACACATCAATCCAGGTCACAGCAGCCAAGACGTCCTGGTCAACCTCAGCACGACTCGCCGCCGACAAAAAGAAACTCGAACCCGTCAAAGCTCTAGAGGAAATTGTCCCGTCTAGGTATCATAGGCACTTACACATGTTTAGGAAGTCCAATGCCCAACGCCTACCCCCGAGACGCCGCTACGACTTTCGTGTCGAACTGATACCAGGAGCTCAACCGCAGGCTAGCAGGATAATTCCATTATCACCAGCCGAGGACGCTGCTTTGGAGGAATTGGTGAATTCAGGCTTAGCCAACGGGACTATCCGTCGAACCACTTCGCCATGGGCTGCCCCTGTGTTATTCACAGGGAAGAAGGACGGCAATCTGCGCCCTTGTTTTGATTACCGTAAGCTCAACGCCCTAACCGTCAAGAACAAATACCCACTACCGTTGACTATGGACTTAGTCAACAGTTTGCTGGATGCCGAAGACTTTACCAAGCTTGATATGCGCAATGCGTACGGTAATCTTCGAGTAGCAGAGGGTGATGAGGATAAACTGGCCTTTATATGCAAACAAGGCCAGTTTGCACCTCTGACTATGCCTTTTGGGCCAACAGGCGCCCCTGGTTATTTCCAATACTTTATTCAAGATATCTTATTGGGACGTATAGGTAAAGACACCGCGGCCTTCTTGGATGACATTATGATTTATACAAAGCCTAAAGTAGATCACGAAGGCGCTGTTGATGGCGTACTTGACGTCCTATCCAAGCATACACTCTGGCTGAAACCCGAAAAATGCGAGTTCTCGAAGAAGGAAATTGAATACCTTGGCCTTATTATCTCTAAGAATAAAATCAGAATGGACCCGACGAAAGTGAAAGCCGTCAAAGAATGGCCAGCACCCCAATCAGTATCTGAACTCCAACGCTTCATTGGATTCGCCAATTTTTACCGACGTTTCATCGACCAATTTTCAAGAACCACAAGACCACTTCATAATCTGACCAAGCTCAACGCGCACTATGTCTGGGATGAAAAATGCGAAAAAGCCTTTGAGAGCCTGAAGACCTCCTTCACCACCGCACCCGTACTGAAGATAGCCGATCCATACAAGCCGTTTACTCTGGAATGTGACTGCTCCGATTTTGCATTAGGAGCAGTGCTATCACAACGCAGCGAGGACGATGGAGAACTCCACCCAGTAGCTTACCTGTCCAGATCACTAGTCCAAGCTGAAAGGAACTACGAGATCTTTGATAAGGAACTACTGGCGATTGTCGCGTCTTTCAAAGAGTGGCGCCACTACCTGGAGGGAAACCCCAACCGCCTAGATGTGATAGTCTACACGGACCATCGTAACCTGGAGTCTTTCATGACAACCAAGCAGCTTACCCGCAGACAGGCTCGATGGGCGGAGACACTGGGCTGTTTCGATTTCGTGATTAAATTCCGACCCGGCAGTAAAGCTACCAAACCAGATGCCTTATCTAGAAGACCGGACCTGGCGCCTACTAACGAGGAAAAATTGACCTTTGGCCAGTTGTTAAGACCCGAAAACATCGGCCCAGACACGTTCCCGGTCGAGCTTGCTAGCGTAGAGGGGTTCTTCAAAGATGAAGTGGTTGCACTCGACAATTCTGAGCACTGGTTTGAGGTGGATGTATTGGGCATCGCTGAAACTGACACTAAGGCACCGGACATTCCTACGGATGATAAAATTATACAACGAATCAGAGACGCAAGCAAAGAGTGTGACAGGATAGGGGAACTGATGAACGCAACCTTGAACCCGATATCAGCCAAGACGAAAGCAGCTTTGAAGCATTACAAAGTACAAGATGGTATCCTCTACAACCAAGGTAGAATAGAGGTACCTGACGTCGACGACATCAAATACTCAATACTAAGAAGCAGACACGACTCATTGCTTGCGGGCCACCCAGGTCGAGCAAAGACTCTCGGATTGGTCAGGAGAAGCTTCATCTGGCCATCTCAGAAAGCGTACGTCAACAGGTACGTGGACGGTTGTGACTCTTGTCTAAGGGTTAAATCAACCACACAGAAACCCTTTGGGACTCTGGAGCCATTACCGATACCGGCTGGCCCGTGGACGGATATCTCATATGACCTTATCACCGGCCTCCCTGCATCAAACGGCTACGACAGCATATTAACCGTGGTGGATAGATTAACGAAAATGAGTCATTTCATTGCTTGTACTGAATCAATGTCGGCTGAAGACCTAGCAGATCTCATGATGAAGAACGTATGGAAGCTTCATGGAACTCCCAAGACGATAATCTCAGATAGGGGTAGTATTTTCATTTCACAGATCACGGAAGAAATTGACAAACGCCTAGGTATACGCCTTCACCCGTCAACCGCTTTCCACCCACGTACAGACGGTCAAAGCGAGATCGTCAATAAAGTAATCGAACAATATTTACGACATTTCGTTAAATATCGACAAGACGATTGGGAAAGTCTACTGCCCACAGCTGAGTTCTCGTATAACAACAAAGACCATGAATCCACGGGCATTTCACCGTTTAAAGCTAACTATGGATTTAACCCATCATTCAACAAAGTACCATCAGCTGAACAGTGTGTGCCAGCAGTAGAGAAGAGGATGCAAACACTCGCCGAAGTGCAATCTGAATTAAATCAATGTTTAGAATTAACTCAAGAGAAGATGAAAGAACAATTTGACAAAAGAGTACAACAAACACCAAGATGGGAAGTAGGAGACCAAGTCTGGTTGAACGGACGAAACATTTCGACAACTAGGCCAAGCCCAAAATTAGAAAATAGATGACTAGGTCCTTTCTTCATTATCCAAAAGATATCAAATTCTACTTATAAATTGAATCTCCCTCTTTCCATGAAAAGCGTCCATCCTGTATTTCATGTCTCTGTACTCAGGAAACATAACCCGGATACAATACATCAACGAAAACAACCCCCAGTCGAACCAATCATAATACAGGATGAAGAAGAATGGGAAGTCAACGAGATACTAGATTGTAGAAGAAGGTACAACAAGAAGGAATACTTTGTGAGTTGGAAAGGATTTGGCAAGGAAAACAATTCATGGGACCCGAAATCAACCTCAAGAATAGTCAAGATTTAGTTAATGAGTTTAATTTAACC